CTCTCTGTTCACCTCATCAATCCTTTAGTTTTACAGTCATAGAGTCGTAGAGTTGTACAGCATGGAAACAGACCTTTCGGTCCAATTTGTCCATGCTGACAGATATCCTAAGTTAATCGGTCCCATTTTCCAGCATTTGGCCCATATTCCTCTAAGCCCTTTCTATTCATATATACCCATCCAGATGCCTTTTAAATGTTGTAATTGTACCAACCTTCACCACTTCCTCTGCTTAGGTCCCTTTTAAATATTTCCCCTCTCACCTTAAACCTATGCCCTCCCTACCCTGGGAAAAAGACCTTGGCTATTCACCCTATCCATGCCCCTCATGATTTTATAAACCTCTATAAGGTCACCCCTCAGCCTCCAACGCTCCAGGGAAAATAGCCCTAGCTTATTCAGCATCTCCCTATAGCTCAAACTCTCCAACCCTGGCAACATCCTTGTAAATCTTTTCTGAATCTTTTCAAGTTTAACAACATCTTAATGTCCTGTACAGACGCAACATGACATACCAACTCCTATACTCAATGCACTGACCAATAAAGGCAAGTGTACCAAACACCACCCTCACTACCCTGTCTACCTGCGATTCCACCTTCAAGGAACTGTGAACCTGCAACCCAGGGTCTCTTTGTTTGGCAACACTCCCCAGGACCCTACCATTAAGTGTATAAGTCCTGCCCTGATTTGCCTTTCCAAAGTGCAACACTTCACATTTATCTAGATTAAACTCCATCTGCCACTCCTTGGTCCAACAGCCCATCTGATCAAGGTCCCATGTTTCTCTGAGATAACCTTCTTCACTGTCCACTACACCACCAATTTTGGTATCATCTGCAAACTTAATAGCCATTCCTCCTATATTTGCATCCCAATCAATTATATAAATGACAAAAAGCAGTGGACCCAGCACCAATCCTAGCGGCACACTGCTGATCACAGGCCTCAAGTCCAAAAAACAACCCACCACCACCACCCTCTGTCTCCTACCTTCAATCCAAATGGCTAGCTCTCCCCGGATTCCATGTGATCTAACCTTGCCAATGAGTCTACCATGTGGAACCTTGTCGAATGCCTTGCTGAAGTCCATGTAGACAATGTCCACCACTCTGTCTTCATCAGTTTTCTTTGTCACTTCTTCAGAAAACTCAATAAAGTTAGCGAGACATGATTTCCCACACACAAAGCTATGTTGACTATCCCTAATCAGTCCTTGCCTTTCCAAATGCATGTAAATGCTGTCCCTCAGAATCCCCTCCAACAACTTACACAATGCTGATGTCAGTCTCACTGGTCTGTAGTTCCCTGGCTTTTCCTTACCACCTTTCTTAAATAATGGCACCACATTAGCAAACCTCCAGCCTTCCGGCACTTCATCTGTGGCTATCGATGATGCAAATATCTCAGCAAGGGGCCCAGCAATCACTTCCCTGGCTTCCCACGAAGTTCTGGGATACACCTGATTAGGTCCTGGGGATTTATCCACCTTTTCTGATGAAGGGTCTAGGCCCGAAACGTCAGCCTTTCTGCTCCTATGATGCTGCTTAGCCTGCTGTGTTCATCCAGCTCTGCACCTTGTTGTCTCTCATTTATCCACCTTTATGTTTTTTAAGACGTTCAGCACCTCCTCCTCTGTAATATGGACACTTTTCAAGATATCACTATTTATTTCTCCAAGTTTTCTAGCTTCCATATCCTTCTCCACTGTAAATACTGACTTCATCAATTCAATAACTCCTTAATCTTCTTTAATCAAATGAGTACGAGTGTAGCCCTGCAACCTGACTCCCTAATTTGACCCTTTTAACATCGGTACCTTTGAGGCCTCCCTGGTTTTATTGCTTAGATGCGCTGTGTTCATCTCAGAGCTACTGAATTGCAAGGTGTCATTTCATAAATAATTACAAATTTTTACATTGTTTATTAGATTTGGAGAAGAACTTAGCAGCAAAATCTAAACATGTTTATTCCATTATAGACAGCACTGCAGATAAATGGCAGAGCAGATTACAACAGTAAAGTGTAATGTACTGTGAATAACAAGTTACTTGCTAAGCGTGTCTTTCTTTCTTCATAGTACTGCTCTGACTGGTAAACATTGAACTGCATGCTACTTAAAGCAAACTTTTTCAATGAAAATTGTTTAATCAAAAGCTTTTTAGTGTGATTACTGCAGACATGTTTCAGTAACACTTGCAAGAATGTGTCATTACCTGCAGTCGTTTGGAATGTCTTTGCTTGTAGTTTTACCGTGCTATGTTTTAAGTAAACAATAACGCTAACTTTTTAATCTCAGTTTCTGAAGGTTCTTGGCGGCAGAGATTTACAACCGATGTCCAGCATCTGCAGTGTTTTGCTTTTATTCCAGGATTTCCAGGATTAACCATGCAGCTTTTCCAGTCTGATGGTAGCTGAAGGTGAAATAACCAGCAATCTTTATCGACTGTATGTGTGCACTCAATACAGGGAGCAGCAAATTGACAAAAGCCAGTAAAACGTTGAACCAAAACTTGAAAGCTTTGGTTGAGCAATTTTCATTGAAAATATTTGCTTTAAACATCATGCAGCCCACATTTACCAGTGAGACCAGGACTATAAAGAAAGGTTCAAATTGGAGGATGTCATACTCAAAATTATACTAGACTCTGGTCAGACTACAGTTTGAGTATTGAATCCAGTTAAGATCACTGAGACACTATGGATATATTCATGAAATGGAGGTCATGCGGAGAGGACCGCAAAGGAGATAATGAGAAAAGACAAGAGACCAGAGCTCTGAAATTCCTCTACTCATAATTCTGTGTGGGCCCTCCAGTACTGACCATACTGAAATTTGCCAGCTCAGTGGAAGAGAGGGCACCTCATTTACATGGGCCTGATGGCATAAATGCTACTTAGGGCACATCTCTGGCACTCACCTGTCTATGACTATCGGAAAACCCTGGTGCTTGTCCTGGGGAGTGGAGATTGTCCGGGTGGCACTCCCTTAAATCCACAAATGGTCCTTTATGTCCCCAGAGGAGGGAGCTGGTTTGCACCATTTTAAAAAGAGTAGTGTGAAAATTCATTGACGATGGAACGGGATGGTCTGGAGCCTACATATGTCTCTGAGCTGGCTGGTTATGCCTTTATTTACTTACTTGGTCTACTGGTCACTGCTATTACACTAGCTCCAACTGGACCCTGAGGTGGGAGTGGGCAGTCTGAGTTTGGGAGAACCTATCTCTGGGCATCATTTACCTTTCAAGGGGTGGACAGAAATTCTGTCCTCATTGCTCATACTGGAAATTCCAGCCAGTCAGGAACCAATTTGATTCCTTTGGAATTTGATTCTAATGAAAGGTCACTGAGCTAAAATGTTAATTATGTTTCTTTTTCCACAGATGCTGCCAGACTGGCTGAGTATTTCCAGCATCTGCAGTATTTTGATAATTTTTAGCCCTGGTTCCTCTTGCTGGCATTCCATTAGGTACAGTAGGAGACCTGCAGAACTCCTATGGAATTTATTTTTGGCTTAACACAGACAGGAGCCATCCGAGAGACAATTTTATTGAGATATGCGAGATTGTTAGTGGTATAACAAAAGGTTAATCTGAAATAGTACTTAAAATTAAATTGTGGGAAGAAGATTGAGGATGCAGGTAGAAACTGCTAAAAGCCAAATTTAAGATTGATATCAGGAAATACTTCTACACTCGGGAGAGTGATGAGCACTTGAAAATAAGTGTGTATGTAGTGTGGTCAGAAGTGAAAATCTAACCCCAAATGTGATTCATTTTTATTTTAAGTGTGTTTAACTTTGTTTCTGTCTGTACCGGAAATTTGGGTTAGGTACTAGCTGCTGTCACGTGACATTAAACTGACTATTTTTAAAAAATTGGCCTCTACTTAATTGACTTTATTTTATTTTTATTTGGTGCATTGCAGACACCATCTCTCTTCATGTTTGAGATGTATGCAGCCAATTGACTTGTTAGATTTGATATTGAAGATGTTGTATTCCTGTCTACTGTGTGATTTACTTAAATTGTTATTGAGATTGACAGTTATAGTCTTCCCATGATTTTAGCAGGTTTTGCCTCGCTCATGCTCTCTCTCACTGTCTCTCCTGCCCATCAACATGGTATCCACCCATTTTCTGACTGAAATTCTGAGTGTGTTTTTTTGTTGTAAATTGTAGCTCACACAAACAGCTTGCTGGCTCTCTTCCCTTTAATGTGGGATGTGTCATCCTGCATCCATGTTGCTTCACCCGCAGTAATTGCCTTACTGACAAATGAGGGATGGATTTCTACACAAACTATTAACAGTGAGCAACCTATCGCCCTACTCATCCTCTCTGTATGTTAGTTGACAGTTCTACCATTCTTAAATAATGATCAAATGCCTAATGTAGATGTTTTAGTGAAGGTGTGGCTGAAGTGGGAGGAGGTGGCCATTAAACATAAGGCATTGTTTCCTTGGAGCTGAAAGGGGATGGGGATTCCAGTCCACATTTTCCAGAAAACCCCCACTGAGCTTTTCAGGTCTGAATCAATGTGAATTCTCAATGTATACTCTGGTGTCTTCATTATCTCATCAAGCTGTTTGATCCAAGAAGTGTTGAAAGGATTTCACTGGTTTCCTCCTCAGAATTGGGGCTTGCATCATCTTATTTTCAGCCTTGAAATGTTTTTGTATAATTTTTTCCCCCTGTTCAGTATTTCCTCCACTTGCTTTTGGCACCTGATATACAAATAGGAATATGTCCGGAAACCTTGGAAAGAGAGCTGCAGCTGTGGTAAGGGAAGGGTGGGGGGGTGTCTGTATTGTGTAATGAGGATGCTTGATGCCTCGGATGATCTCTATTCTGCAGCGCAAAGCATGCATCCTTTTGTATTATATTGTGGAATCCAAGAAGCCTAACGCACAGAGAATTGTTGTCCGGATGGGTGGTCTGTGATGGGAAGGGGCCATGAGCCTTTCAGAGCCCCGTGCTACCTTCGTACTCTGAACCCATGAACAGAGGAGCAATCTTGCAACGAAGGACTACTTTTCATATCTCTCTCACACTAGTGAAATTAGAGCCTCTGAGCGATGGAGGCAGTGGGAGTGAGACTTGTCAGAGGGACAAAGCCACCTTTTCGGAAGAGGAACCTGGTGCCAAGGCTGCAGGGAAGATTTCTTTATTGTACGGCAAAGAAGATGCTTCTGGCCAGCAACCTAAAAGTCCCCAAAATTTGAGGTTAAATATTATCGAGAATGTGGAGCCAATTGAACCTAGAACAATAGGCGATCGAAACAGCTTCAGTATTAGAAATGATGAATTGGGTGATGGTGCCAGAACAGCCTGGGTTGAAGTGGGCGAATTACCAAGCAAATTCCAAGTTGAACCAACGCTAAAATCCGTAAATAAATCTGAAAATGTA